GGAGCTCCGCCCGCCGCGCGCGCCGGCTTGCGGGGGAAGTGACGTTGCGGTACGGGGCCGCGGAAGCGGCCGGCGGCGGTGACCTGCGGTGGAGGGGGTGGGGGTGCTCGGTCACGGCCGGCGAGAAGGGTCGTTTAGGGCACCCACTCCCGGGCCGTACGCTGGGGCGGCCGGCGCGCGGGCGGCGACCTTGGCAGGGGGCGGCCGCGGCCTGCCTGCGACCCGCTGTGTGACCTTGAGCAGGGCGCTGGCCCTCTCGGGTCTCCCTCCAGATGTGCCTGGCGTGACGGGCAGGGCTGTGGGAGCCGGCCGCGCGCGCCGGTGCCCGAGGGCCGTGGTGGTCCAGGGAGCCTCCCGGGCAGGAAGAGCGGGGCTCCCGGCCCTCCTGAGCGCGGTGGCCCGCTGTGACCGGACCTCCGGGGGCGGGGGGGGGTCCCTGTCGCCGCCGCAGACGCTGCCCCGCCGGCTCAAGCTCACTGGGGCGGCACTGAGGCCGCGCATGCGCGCTCCTGGCTGGCCGCATACCGCTCCTGGGCCCCGAGAGGTCATTAGGGACTGCGTGGCCCCGGGCTCCCCAGTTGGAGGCCCTGAGCTTTGCATGGGAGTAGTGAGGGGTCAGATAGGAGACGTCGCTCCCTGCCTGCCCCGGGGCTCACCTCGGCCCGGGGGCAGGGGCGGGATTGAGGACGGGGCTCCACACTGGCCAACTGCACGGGACACCTGGGGGTAGAGCATGAAGCGGGGAGGGGGGTTATTTTTAGGTAGAAAAGGGAATGGCACTTGGGAAGACACCCAAAGGCGGTGAGAGCATGAAGCACCCAGCATCCCGCGGTTGGGTAAGGGGGGGTGTCAGGGATGCAGCTCCCAGGCACCAGCCCGGGGCCCCCCCAGTCCTAGGACTCTGGGGCCAAGCCAGCTGTTGCCAAGACTGGCAGGAGAGATGCAGCCTGGGGCCGACTGGAAGAGTCGTCCCTGCAGGGCGGGTGCAGGGGCAGAGCCAGGGACACACGAGGGCCATGGGGGCAGGTGCTCAGGCCATTTCCACAGGCAGGCCTGCAAAGCCACAGAGGTCATCACTGCCGTCCTTCTAGGCCCTCCAAGAGTCCATCAGTACTAGCCAGGTATGCCAAGGATGAGTGGCTCTGTGACCCCGGCCAGAGCAGGACTCATACCTGGGAGCGCTTATGCCAGGGAAGGGGAGCTGAGCTGGGCTTTCTTTCCTGGCCTACCGGGGCCAGTGAGCGGGCCTCAAGCCACCCAGGGCACCTCTGCGTTTATCAAAAGGCTTGTGACTGACCAAGTTCTATCCACCTGTCCCTCTCAGCCTTACTGGGATAGTTATCGAAGGCTTCCAGTGGAAGAAGAGGTACCGTCTGTGCCACATGAACGTCTTTCATGAGACGTGAGATCATTTCAAACCCTCCTGCAGCCAGGGGCGAAGCTGTGGAGATGGAGTAGCAGGCCAGAGGTCACCACTGGGTCTCAGTGCTCACGTGTGGGAGGGTCAGACTTGGGCCAAGTGTCTTGTCCAGCGCGATGGAATGCGTGTTCCAGCCTGCCATGGCTCTGTGTCACGGGGCTCGGCCCACACTGGCCGGGAGCCCAGTCATCACAGTGCCATCTGTCACAGGCCCGCGCTGTGCATTAGCCAGGGGGAGGGATTCGAATTGTCCCCGTGTTACAGACGAGTAAGCAGAGCTTAGAGCAAAGGGAAGTCACAAGAAAAAGTGAAACTTTAGGTCAAAGAAAATGTTTTAATACGTAGTACTTATCTATTTGTCTTTAGACCAATGCTACCATAAAATGTGATTTTTATGTTTTGTTTCGTTTTTTGGAGGAAGGGCCCTTGAATAACGTGGCCCTGAAGGGGTGAGACCAGAGGCGCTGCAGGTCTCTGGGGGAGGCTGTGGGCTTCCTGGGACACGCTTCTGCCACGGCCCGTGGCCACAGCCATCACCTGGCCTAGAAACTAGAGCACTTACAGTTTTGTAGAGTGAACGGAACCTGGACTGCAGGCTCTCCGCGGGCGAGGCTCCCAGGAATGAACCCGCGCTCGGCACTTGGCAGCAGGCCGTTAACCCAGCTCCCTGCTGCCGGCCTCTGCCCCTATCAGGAAGAAGCTGAGTTGTCGCTAATAGGCCCCACTGAGGGGAGGCTGTCGATGTTCTCCAGGGAGATAATCATTCTCACGTTTTTATTTTACATAGTTTCCTAGTTCTCCATGCTTAAGGGAGTGAACTCACCTGACCTTTGACACAGGAATTAAAAGTCCCATTTGAAAAGAGGAAGCCAGCGCCCTGCAGGCTGGGGTCATAACCCCAAGAGGGACGGTGCGGGGCCACGGCCGCTGTGTGCCGCTGCCCCCGCACATCCTGCACACCCCGCGGCTGCCACTAGGACGGCTCCTACAGTCCCCCTTGCTCCCTCCGCTCAGCCCTCAGTGCTTCCCCGCGTTCAGCCGCTAGCCCCCCGGGGAAACGCTCCCTCCACCACTCATCAGCCTTCACTGGGGGACTCAAGCAGGCCCACTGAGGCCTTGCCAGGCAAAGGGAGAGATGTCCCAGCCTGCCAGTGGCCATCATTGGACCACCACCGGCCGAAACTGCCAAGGCCACCACTCCACAGGAAGCAAGGGCCAGGTCACTCAGCCTTGCTGCAGATGCTTCTAACTGGCAAGTCTGGGAGGCACTCGGAGAGAGGGAGGTGCAAATGGGGATGTGAGGCAGAGGAGCCTCTCAAGTGACCTGCCCCGTCTTAATCCCAGAAGGAGCCACAACACAGTATTTTTGGCCTTTCCTTCAGTGTGCTGTCTGTCCATAGGTGTTCACTGGGCAACTCCACGTGATACCAGCTTCCTTGTTGCAGGACTTACCAGAGCCTTCAATGTGCTGATGTCACTGGACAGCTCTAAGGAGAATGGAATGCAGCTTTGACGGAGTTAAGTGAACTTCTGATCCCAGAGCATCTCAGGCGGGACTTTGAGGGAAGCTTTTTATAAACGCCACGGGGCGGGGGAGCCTAAATGGTTTTCTCACGGGAGGGCTCATCTAACTCAGGAGCTGAGCTCCAGGAGAGGGACTAACCCGGGATGCCCCGGCCTGCCCTCCACTGCTGTCCCCAGCATTCACGGGAGCAGCCTGCGGTGCTGATGCAAGGCTGGGGGCCCGTCCACATCAATGCCTCTGGCGTGCACGCAGCCACTCCCCCTCTGCAGAATGTCCTTGCATCCAGTCAATCCTGGGCATGCTCATTTCCCGTTTTACAGATGAGAAAACAGGCCCAGAGAGGCTGTAACCTGTGTGCCAGAGGTGGGTGTGGAAACCAGCACCAGCCTGGCAGCCACCGGGGTGGCCAGGGAAGCAGCTGTTGTCCAGACTGAGCGAGGGCTCGGCCATGACTCCAGGGTACCGTGCACACACCTGTGCCCTGGGCACACCTTGGGGCCTCCTTCCCGGACCTGCCACCCTTAGAGCTTTGGGCTCTGGGCCATTTTTGTGACCTTGGTTTGCATAATGTGTCCTGTGCTCTGGCAGGGAGTGGGCACAGGACCTGAGGCACTGGGTCGCTGAGACGGCGGGGTGGTCCTCCTCCAGAGCAGGGGTGCACCGGCTGGGCTGAGAGGAGGACCATCACCCTGCACAGGCCATGGAAGCAGGGGCCCCCAGGGAACAGCAGGAGTCGAGATTTGGTCTGGAGGCCCAGCAGGGAGCCCTCAGGCAGGTGAAGCTCGGGGCTCAGAGCGCAAGGGGCAGCAGGGGCTGAGCCAGCTTTTTGTGAAGGTTTCCACTCGGTGCAATAAAAGCCCAACAGACAAGCGTCCAGACACCTGCTGTTCACAAGCAGCGCACCCGCACAGCCGGGTCTGAGCCCTCCCCACGGGGCCGAGAATCCACGTCACACCCACAGCTGCAGGGTCCCTGGCCGCCGCCCCGTGGCTGTGCTGCAATGCTGCGGGGGGGAGGGGGGCTGCACCCCCACACACAGCCCCAGAGGGCTCACCGTTCGCACGCCCACTCGCCCGCTCCTGGGAACCGTCCCCACACACACACAAACGCATCTGCGCTAAGTAAAAGGCTGGAAAAAGAGACCCCATGTTAACTCCTGTCAAAAGAAAGCTGGAGCCGCTGCCCTCGCTCATGGGGAGACAGGGAGGAGCCAGGCGGGAGCCCCTCTGCCGCTCTGCTCAGGTCACTGTGGGGCTTGGATTTGGGGGGCGGGAGGGGGTGGGGTTCAGACACCGAGGCACACGGGAGCCAAGGCACCTGAGGTGGCAGCAAGGACTCCTGGCGTGACCCCAGTGAAATGCTCCTCCGTGGACAAAGCTGGCGGACCTCACCAGCGGTGTGAGCAGAGCCATCTGTCCAAATGTCTGTGTCCTTGACACCCAACCTGGGTGCTTTTGCTCATCTCATTAAAGATGCTTGAGGTAACTGGTTTCCTTTTATTTTCCCGCAGGCTTGTTCAGAAGTGCTTTTCTTTTTTTAAACAAATCCGTATGGCTCCCCCCAACCCCTCACTTAGTTCTGCTATCAGCTGCTTTGCTGAGCTGGCCTAGTAGGCCTGCCTCACAAACATGTCAGC